ATACCACATTAACGAGGTAAGAATTTAGAATATGGGTTTTAAAAGAAACTTAAAAATAATTAAAATATTTTCAGTAATCAAGAAAGAAATTCAGGTTGAGTTTACTGTGCCCTCCAACACTTTACTCTTCCCTGAAAACTAAAACAAAGGGGATACACTATAAATATTTAATATTCTTTTTAGATATAACCCTCAAATTTTATTTTGGAAAAAAAACTTGTATATTACAGTAATTAAAATATATTCATAAACTTTTAATTAACTGGCTATTTTATCTCTGCAACAAGAGGTAACTTCATTTTTCTTCATAGAAAAATATATCACTATAATATATAAATATCATATCAGAGCAAGATTATGTTTTTGTTAGTGTCCAAAAGTAAAAAAAAATAATTTGCTGTGTTATCTACTTTGGCTTAAAACTGAAACCAGACATGTAATTTTTGTAATAGTATTGAAGAAAACCTATTTTAAAAAGCACAAAGGATTATATACAGATGCACGCTTAACATTTAGACGAGTGCTTGTATACTTAACTCATGCATACATCCTCTGACATTTTTTTCCTCTTCTCTAGGTCCTTCCTGGATAGTTCTTACTGCGGATGGTGACGGTTTTATTCCAGTAGCTTTTAAAGCAAAGCAGGAGATCATTATAAGAGATGGCAAGGATAATTTTGATCTCCAACAAAGTTACGCGTTCAAAGCAAATTTTTCGTCATAACCACCAAGTATGGGTGAGATAGGTGAGATAGTCAGGAAACTAAAAAAAAACATTTTGGAACATAAAAGAACTGAAATGTTAGAATATGATTACCAGGACTTTCAAGTGTAATTTACAAGAGTTGCCTAGCAGTGTGTTCCCTTTACATTAAGTAATCAGGATGGTTCTCAACACTAAGAAGGGAATACTGGATTTAAAATAAAGCCATGATGAAGAATAAGCTCTGAAGCCAATCCAACAGGGGTGGAATTCTACTGGTTCTGTCCACTTCTGTAGACTGGTTGCTATGAAAAGCAGCAGAGAGCATACACAGAATCAGTTCTGTGTGCTGTTTTGGCCCGCCCATCCACCCGGGCTCTTACCTGACCTTTATTTACTGCATTTTCAACCGCAGCTGCTTTGTGCGACACAGCTGAAAAAGCAGGAAACAAGTGCTTTTTGAACTGCTGCGCACTTGCACGCAGTGCTCAGCTGTTTGGGCAGCTCAGTAGGTCGTAAATTGCATTTGTGCGACGTAGAGCAACAGAATCAGTAGTTATACCAGTTGGATCCCTGCAATCGAATATTCTGTGCAAAAAATCTATCAGATGTGTTTATTTAAAGTTATTACTGTCACTAGGGAACTCTGCAGATGAACAAACCATATATTATTATTTTAAAATAACATAATACTGTTTTCATCTTCCGCTTAACATGGGGAATACAATGAAAGCAACAAATAATTGGATTTTAAGTGGCTGTGAGTGGAATACTGCTCCTAAAGTACTCCCACAGATCAAAGAATGAAGGTATTTTTCATTCCCCCCTTTATTCCCTTTGAAAATCTTTGGGAGGGACATTAAACGATTTTACAGAATAGATAACAAAAACTGGGATGGGACTGTATCATTCATATTTTTTAAAAAAAATTGCAGATGCTAAGAGGCTATTCTTAATTGGACCCTGAAGCTTTTTAACTGGGTTTTCCTTATTATGGTTCTAACATGGTTCAGAGTCCTATTCCTATCTGTTCTGGGAAAAAGCTTGTATTGGAGGGAATGGCAAGAACATGTACAGGTCCTGCTATAATATATATTGTATATAAATATATGTCAAATGTTTGTAATACCCATACATGGGCACACTAGTACCTATTAATAACTGCACAAATAGTTAACTCCATTACTCCATCTTTTCCAGATCATTTCCTATATAACTAAACTGTGCTTTTAGGACCATTTGCCTAAATGCTATTTGTATAAACAGTAGCTTAAAAGTTTGTGAAGCCTTTTGGATTTTCAATGTTTCTGCATAAACATAACCTAAAATATGATCTGTTGTTCACGTGTTGTAAAACTAGATAAGGAGAATCCAGTTAAATAAATGAGTCCAAAACCTGTTATACCTGTACATTTGTTTATTGAGGAAAATTATCCCTACTTACTCCAGAAACTAAGAGGATCTAGATAGGGAGCCACAGCCTCTACTCTCAGAATATCAGCACTAGGGTTGGTCTACTCCACAGATGAATACTGCATCCGTTTGGCTTAATAGCTGCCACACTAGGAAGATCGACTCTAGACTAAATGATACGAGGATCATAAGTGGTTGCATAAAATCTACTCGTTGGCTCCCTGTTTTGAGCCACATAGCACCACCAGCCCTATGAAGGAAGGAAGCCTTAGTGAAGGAGTACAAAATTATGAGAAACCCACTTCTTCTTGTGCATGCTGATCTTCCTCATCTATCAATTGGCAGGCTTAAATCCAGGAAGCCCTCTCTGGCACTCACTCAACAGCTAACAACTTTGACATCAACTCACAGTGGAGCCAAATGTGCTGCTGTGGGCCCAGATACAATCACTTACATAGATGACTCTACACAAAAGGTGCCGGTGTTCCTTCCTCACCAGTGTTGGTCAACTCTGAACAGGATCCATACTCAACATGGTGTCTGCCAGGACTCATTGTTTAAATGGGATCTTTGACTCTACGCCTCAGTGTGACTGTGGTGCTCCTCGACAAAATATTCATTACATTGTGTCCAAATGTCCATCAAGACTGGCTCATTGTCTGATTTTTTCAACATAAACCACCCTGTCCTTGAATGGATAGGTGGACTGGACATTAACATTTGCCATATGCTAAATAAATAAAAACCCAAATTATTTGTGTATCGCAAATGTAAGCAAATCTCTAGGAATATCAGTTCATCTAAAGCAAAGGCTTTGCCTTGGCAAATATCAGTGTTCATGAGGCCACTTTCATGAGAACACTTGAAAAACATGCATGGCAGGTATTAGAAGAAAGTCATTATCGTACTCTCTAAAAGGAACGTTGCTATTCCATCTACAGATTGCAAAAAAAATAATAATAATCACATGGATAAGCCAGAATGCTATTGGAAGAATGTTCTGTAGAAGCATGAGACAAAAGTAGGACTCTGTGGCTTGAATGAAAAGCATTCTATTTGGTGAAGAGCACATATTGCATTCCCATGCAAGAACCATATAGTGGAGGCAGTATCATGGTTTGAACTTGCTTTGCCCACTATGGACCAAGACAGTTTGTCATCAATGGAACTATGAATTCTGAATTTTACCAATAAATTTTATAGGAAAATGTCAGGGTATTTGCCTATGAACTGAAGCTCGAGAAGGTAGGTCATGCGGCAGGACAATGGCTCAAAGCTATGCGCTCATCTAATCTGATCATCTAATTCAAAAATGATTAAAGGAAATAGAAATTAGTATTTTTGATTGGCCAAAGTTCTGACCTTTCTAAAGAAAATGATGTGGAAGGACCTGAAGTAGGCAGTCCATATGAAGAAGCCTACATAAATCCTCAGTTCAGGTTTTCTTTTCTTTTTTTCATTAACAGTTATTGTGTCATTATGTATACATGTTTCTTATACATTATTTTTATCCTTATCCTTCACCCATTCGTACCACCTCTCCCATGTCACATAATATTCTCGATCCTCTTTGCCTTTCAGTTCCATAGTGAATTTATCTAGTTCAGCACAGTCCATTATTTTTTGAATCAAAACTTCCTCTGGTGGTTAGCACAAAATTGGAAGAGTGATAAAATACCAGTTCAGGTTTTCTATAAGGAGGAATGGGCAAACATTTCTCCAAGCACTTGTTCAGGACTGATGAAATATTGGAATTTTTTAGTTGGTTATTGCTTTCCCAATGGGGTGAGGGCACACCAATTACTAAAAGCAAAGATTAACATATTTTTGTCCCAGACAAATATATTCTGGTACCTTTGGATCATCTATCTTCTCAAAATAGTAAATCAATGCATGTATGATGTTTCTAATTCATTTATATAATTAGGTTCTCATTAATTTTGGACTTGAGTGAAGGATCTATCATGTTTTACATCAAAATTATGAAATATTGAACATTCAACAGTTCACAAACTTAAGCACAGCTGTAGCAAGCTGAGGGATAAATGGCATTAAATTGGTTTTGAAGGGGAAAAAATAAAGCTGACTTCAAATCATAACTGAGCTTAGTTAGCTAAATGAGTATTTATAACACAAAATAGTTGCCTCTGTTGTACCTTATCACAAAAAATAAAGTGTTTCTTAAATCTTGGGAGTTCCTGCAATAATTTTGCCAAAAAGCATAATTGTAAACATTTTCAAACTCTTGACACGCCGACAACCCCTAAATGTTACGATACATACGCTGTTAATAACAGTCTAGCTTTCCCTATTTTTGAAATTTGCCCTTACACAGAACAGTACAATAACAGCCTATTGCTTGTAGTATTGAAGGAAGGAAACAAGATCAACGACAATAAACCAAAGAAAACAATAAAAGGGAGCCATCCGCCCTTCTGAACCAACCACCCATTTGCGATGCTTAAAAGACCCTGAAGCTTTTATGACTTTGTGGCCTCAGCCACAGGAACGCCAAACTGTAGAAAGGCGGCTTAGGCCTCTCGAGCCCCTCTTCCGAAAAAGGGAGCCTCGCATTGTAGCAGCCGCTTAGGCTCCAAAAAGCAACCCAACGTTCCCGCCATTTTTTTTTCCCCCTCCAAGGGCGGGTGTGTGTGTGTATTTTTTTGACCAAACAGCATGAGGGGAAGGGTCGCCGGAGCGTGAAGTTTCCCCGCGTTGCGTTTCTGTCGCAAAGGGGGCGTTTGTTAGATCACACACGGACCAATAGAGAAATAGAGCTCCGGTGACGCCACATCGTAGGCGGGCAAAGGGGTGCGTGCCTCTAGGCCTGTGTATGGGCTTTGGATCTCGCCTCCCTTTTGAACCTTTTCGGAAAGCCTCCGCCTGCAGCGTCCCTTGTGGCAAGAGGGGGTAAGTCCATGTGGTCCTGCCCGGCAATTCCTCCTCTCCAAGAGCGAAAGGGCTGGGATTCCGGCAGTAAACGGAGCACCGAGTGGGCGTGAAAAGAGGGCGAAATCGTTACACAGACGGGCGGACGGATCGCGGCGTGTTTAAAGGAGGTAAATGGATGTGGGGATGGAGCCACAGGGGCACGAGCGGAGGCGGCGTTGGATCCAAAGGAGGGGCGGTCAGAACCGGGAGGAGGCTCAGCAAAAGAAGCCGAGGCGCTGCCCGTGGGGAGAATCAAAAATAAAAAAGGCTCAAGGGTGGCAAACGCAATGAGAAATGGCTCTCTAAAACCCCGAAACCCGGCTTGTCCGGTCTCTTTTCTTTCGACTTAGCCGGTCTTTGGGTTTCTGACTGGACTACAGTTCCCATCGGCCCCAGCCACTAGTTAACGCCGGTTTCCTAACGTGAAGTCTTTTATCCCGACAAGCTCTGGGGACACGGGGTTTTAACAGGTTGAAATAGGGAGTGAGGGGTGACTCCCAGGTAGTGGTCAAGGAGAGCCACTTCCAAATTGCAATCCTGGTGGGAAAAAATAAAGTGGCCCCATCTTGAAAGATCTAAGCTTGCAAACGGTAGACTATATTCAGCTTGATGTCTGAATATTTCCACGACTTGGCTTTGTCCTTGCAACTCAGGGTAATTCTAAGATCTGCTCTGGAATTTATCCCATTCTTGAAATGTGGAAGGGGTGATGTAAGAAGGAATTTTTCCCATTGGGAAATAACCGTCGATTAAATTGGATACAACTAGTCCTTGACTTACAATTCATTTACATAGTTAACCGTTGAAAGTTACAGTGACACTGGAAAAAAGTGACTTATGATTGTTTTTTTCAAACTTACAACTGTTGTCACATCCCCAAGGTCGGGTGATCAAAATTCAGATTCTTGACTATTGATTCATATTTGTGACAGTTGCAGTGTCCTGGGGTCACGTGATCAGTTTTTGTGACTTTCTGGCAAGGAGTCAACCGGAAGCCAATTTCACTTAACAACTGTTATTAATAACTGCAGTGATTCACTTAACAACTGTGGCAAGACAGATCATCAAATGGGGCAAAACTCACTTAACAAATGTTTCCGCAAGAGAAATTTGGGGCTCAGTTATCGTTGCAAGTCAAGGACTATTTGTAGTCACAATTTGATACAAAGTAGCCGCATATGTGTCATGGTCACCCAGTTCATTTTTAAACAAGGAGAGGGAACATTTTGCTGTCCAGATGCTAAACTGTAAAAATCTCTCAGCATGACCCAAACCGACTGCATCTGCTGAAAGTTGCCCTTCACCAATATCTGAAGGTTCACATTTTCCTGTTCCTGAATGAACAAACTCTTTGGGTTAAATTAAAAATGGAAATATTCCTCATAATTGATTAGAACATAAATATTGATTGTGGGCCAGATAGGGGGTCCCCTTTATGCTTTCAGTATCCAGAAAATTCTTCTTTGGAATTCAGTAGCAAAATAGATTTCTGCAGTGTGATTGTGGCCCAACTGGTTTTATTATGGGGGTGATTTCAGGGTGACAATGGGATTAGACTCCTTTTGCTAGGCCTCTTGTTCTCACATCACCCTTACAATATCCCATAAGTTAAAAACAGGCTGATCATTTTCAGCCATTCTTTTTCCAATACACCAAAATGTCACAGCATATGGCTCCAGAAGATTGGGAAGCTGGATTCAGATATCCATTGTTGCTTTTTTCCTGTATTTCTTATAAGGTATATCTTTATATGTGGTGGAGAACTGATGATCTGGTTTTTTTCCCTGTGGTTGTCAAATTCACTTGAAATAATTCATTTACGTAGGACGTTGAGAACCTAAGTCAGGTTGAGTCCCTGTGTATCAATTAAAAGAAGCTCAACAAAAGCTACAACAGAATAATGAAACAGTACTGGACAATTATAAAACTGTAATAGTTTGCCTTCACTTACCGGCATGGCAAATTAGCTAATAATGATGGAATTAAAACAGTATTTCTTTTCTTTACAGATGTATTCCATGAAAACTTAAACATGGAGCTGGGGAAAGGGAAGCTCTTGAGAACTGGCCTTAATGCCTTACACCAGGCCATCCATCCTGTGCATGGGATTGCTTGGACAGACGGAAAGCAAGTGATACTGACTTCGTTATACCAACATAATGGAGAACCTAACTTTGGCAACTCAAATGTTGTGGGTCAATTTGAACACGTTCATGGACTCTACTGGGGTCCATTTTGTGCACCAGATGCTCCTGCACTTCTTGCTATTCAGCATAAAAGACACATTACAATGTGGCAACTCTGTTACAGTGTTTCAGAACAGAACAAGCTGATGGTTTATCAAATCAGTGAAATCAGCGAGCTGTTTCCTATACTTCCTCAGGGTTGTGTGTGGCATCCCCAAAAAGAAATCTTGGCGGTGCTCACTACACGAGAAACCTCTGTGCTCCATTCAGTGCGACTCAATAACTCCAGAATTAAAGCCGATATCAAAGGTACCGGTATCATTCATTGTGCTTGTTGGACTGAGGAAGGCAAACGTTTGGTGATTGGGATAGGTAGCACACTCCATTCCTACCTGTGGGATGATGATCAGAAAACTTTAAATGCTTGCTCCTTTTGTCCAATATTTGATGTAGGGGGCTATGTTTGTGCAATTGAACCAACTATGAGCACACAAGTGGCAGTTGCTACTGAACTGCCACTAGATAAGATCTGCAGCTTAAATGCTGGTGTTTCCTTTGAAATCCCAAGTGGGATTATTGGAAATGCGATTCCTTCTCAAAGTAACCCATTAGAATGTGATGGTGATGCCTCTATAGAAGATGGAAAAAAAGTAACGGACCAGGAAATGCTTGCATCATCCCCAGTGGATTTGACTCATCTGCCTTTGAGCAAACAGCTACCTGAAAAAAGTCCCCTCATTAATCTAAGATCCAAGGATTACCTCACTGGAAGTGGTCACGATGCGTCACATTTGATTTTGGTGACGTTTGAAAAAAAAGCGACCTCTAGTAAAAAAGTCAGCATTCCGGGTGTCCTGGTTCCAGATATCCTGGCTTTTGACTCTAAAACACAGACTGTAGTAGTTGCCTCCAATACTTGTAATATAATTTTGACTTACTCCTTATCTTCATCACTCCTGCCTAACATTCAACAAATTCAATTGGAGAAGAATGAGAGGCCAAAGGGATTATGTTTCTTAACAGAGAAACTATTAATGATCCTGGTTGGGAAACAAAAATTAATGGATCCTGCTTTTCTTCCCTCTTCACGCTCTGATAAGTACATTCTCCGCTTGCTAGTCAAAAAGATCACCACTAGAGAAGGCCCTTCTGCACTTTTGGGGCCTACTCAGGTTTGCTTTAGGAACATACCGGTGAAAAGAGAGTGTGTTGAAAGGCATTCTTCTGAGGCTTACTTTCTGAGAGAAGGATTGATGCTTCCAGACTGCATGAGCCTGCCATCCTCTGGGAAGAAAAAACTGATAGAAGAAATTGCTGATGAGCAATGTCTGCCAACAAGCATTGTGGATTCTGCTGAGAAAAAGATGTCCAAGGATTTTCCTCAAGATTTGAGAACTTTGGACGTTGAGCCAACAACTCATTCCTTTGTTCTTCAACAGCTTGAAAACTCTTCAGGATCACTTAATATACCAGTTTCAAGCACACCAGGAGGTGGATCTCATGAATCCTCTAATTCATACGACAAACAAATGCAGAATTCTCATGAAGTAAAAAGGAACTTACTGCAAAGTGAAAAAGAAGCTAATTGTGTCTCTAAAAATCTAGAAGAACTGTGCTACAGCTTTACAGAACTTCAACATCAACTTTTTGAGATAACTGAACTTCTAAGATCAGGAAAAAAAATTGTTCCGCAGTATCCACCATCTTGTGAACCTTCCTTTCTTAACGTAATTTGCCAGGTAACTTTCAATCCAAAAAGAGTATGCTGTCACAATTTTAATATAGCCAGCTGTACTTAAAAACCTACTAATATTAATTGCTTCCTTGAGACTCTTGCTGTAAAATTTCTGAAGAGCAACGAACCGTTTGCCAAAACCTAGTTATGTAAAGCTATTTTTAAAGACAGGAGAAGGAAGATTTGGGTTCATTTGGAGGCATCAGCGTGATTGGGGCCCAATGCAATCTAAAAAGTCATTTTCAAGAGGTTGAAAATATTACAGAGATGCCATTTGAGAGCCAGTAATTGGCTAGAGGCGCACTTAATTAAGACAAGAAAAACTGTGGTTCAAATCTCCATTAAGTCTCAAGAATTTTTGGATGATCCTAAGGCAGTCGTCTTCTCTTAGCCTAATTTTCCTTCTGTGGGAATTGTGAACATATCTCCTGAAGTGGGCTGGTGAAAGGACCATGAATAAGTGTGTGTGTGTGTATGTTTATGTGTTGTATCAATAAGTATTGTCTTGCACATATCAAAATTACATGCATTATTTCATAAATAATAGTGACTATCTGACATAATTGATAGTACCTTTTACCTATAGAGACAGAGAAAACAAACATTGAACTGGATTTATTTGTGACATCCTTTGCTCTAGCCATTGATCTGAATAGGTCCAAAGTACTACAATATTCAAGGTGAAAATTATGCAAAGTCAATCCTAGTAGTATCTCTGTAGCTCTTACCAGTGGGCATAAAACATGGCACTAAGTAACAAAATGGCATCTGAATGGCATCTATTTCCACACTTTGAAAACTGAGTTTGCGAGCATGGGATTAGCTGTTATGAATCACTATGCCTAAAATAATAATAATTTTTAAATTAACAGAAGGAGTCTTCAGGATCTATTACTTCTGAACAGCATGCTGTTATCCTCTGTGATGGGAAACTCCGTCTGAGCATAATTCAGAAGATTTTCAATGTGGGTGTAGTTGAAATGCAGCACAGTAAGTATGAAAGGTAACTTTGGGAACACTAATAACAAGCCCATTTGCCAGTACAAAAATATTTGTTCCTTTTTATATGTAAATGGCATTTCCAAATAGTTACATTTTTTTACAGTGAAAATTTTTCACTGATTGTACTCAGTTCTCTTCAGGCATCACCAGTTCTCTTCAAATCATAACTATAAAAATGGCTGCATTCATAACATCTCTTTATTACTGAAAGTTTGAAAGAGGAATGTAATCATGTTTGACTATAACTAAATGAAGAAACAGTTTCACAACGGTTGTTCTATAAAAATGTGGAGAGGGCCAAAATAGAAGGGGTAGGGCTGGAGTACATAACTCTGTCTCTGTTAGAAACTAATAATATCTCAGTATACTTCAAGTCACAAGAAGTAGTAGTTCCACTTTGTGCTAGTAAGCTATATTTGAATACTGTAACCATGCATAGGCCCTATATTTTATGGACATGAACAAAATTAGCAAATCTAGAAGAGGCTAGCCAGAATGGTGAAGAGTCTGGAAATATGTAGAATAGCTTCATATTCAGAATAGTCAAAAGAATTGGGAATGTTTAACCTGAGGGAAAAAACAATCGGTGGCCTTCAATTGAAATTGGGTGCCAGGAGCAAGATAGAACAAACTCATTTTGGTTCTTCTAGAGAGAGAGACTTGAACTAATGAGTGGAGATAGGTGGAAAATAATTTAGAGAAAATAATTAGGAGAAACTTAAATAGGGCTGGATGCATTATTAATCATGACTATGGGAAGAAGTCCTTGTGTCTTGCTGAAGGTTTAGTTTGGTCTTATGGTAAAACATACTTGGAATACTGTACACAGTTTATAAATCAATATACTATTCACAGTGCTTAGATGCTATCATATACATGAGCAAATCCTTTATTTAGTGGTCTAAATTATTCTCACAGACTTTTACTATTACTTTATACTTAGTGATTGAGACATGTATTCTTTTCACATCTCTTGAACTATGGCTGTAATTTTTTGCAAACACATCTAAATAAAAGAAATAAACTGGATCTAATTCAGCAACAGCTAATAGTTCTCAGTAATTTGATGCTTTGTTAATTACAAACAGTTTATAATTAACAGTTATAATTTCACCCATGACCTGGACTCATTTTGGTTGTAATTTTCAGTCTGATATATCAGCTTAAATATTACGTTACATATGTAGGCTTGTTTGCTTGTGCCTATAGAGATATTTTGAAAACCTATCTTAGTGTTGGCCTTATCTGACTAGTTCACATAAGACACTAAGCAGAAAGATTAAAGGTTCACATGATAGCAATCTTCTCATGATGTCACTTGCAACGCAGCTTTACATAACCAGTGAAAGAAACTCCTCACAGAAAGTGGAGCTCTGGCAGCTTCAGGGTTTAGCACCTCTTCCTATCCAGTTGTGTATGTTACCTTTGGTAGACATTTGATTAATAAACAGGAATGTTCATGAACATTTGAGGCATAATTTTATGTAGGAAAATAGATGTGTCAGCCATGGCAGAAAAACTAGGTTCTCTTCATGTATGTTACAGCGGGATTGTTCAGAGCAGATTGTTTAATAGTGACTTCTTCAGTTGTTGAGAGGACTTTTTCTTATGCTGTTTCCCTCCTTGAGAGTACGTTTGGACCTTTATGCCTGCCTGCCTGCCTACCAGCTTATACACAACCCCATTAATTTTAAGAGTACAGTTTAAACCCTGTAATAGCACCCCTTGGTTTCTGTGAACTTGATAGGCCAAGAATACAGGAATTTAGCTTGACTTGATTATTTCCAGCCAGAAAAAAGAAATCCTGAATAGATAGAATCTAATTTAAAAATAGCCTATTACAGGTAGTCCTCGACTTAAGACCACAATCGAGCCTGGCATTTTTCTTTGTAAGTGAGGCATTTGTTAAGTGAGTTTTGCCTCATTTTATGACCTTTCTTGCCACAATTGTTAAGTGAATCACTGCTGTTAAGTTAATAACACCATTATGAAGTGAAACTGGCTTCTCCATTGATTTTGCTTGTCAGAAAGCCGGAAAAGGTAATCACATGACCCCAAGACACTGCAGCCATCATAAAATAGGAGTCAGTTGCCAAGCGTCTGGATTTTGTTCACATGACTATGGGGATGCTGCAATGGTTATGTGAAAAATGACATAAGTCATTTTTCAGTGGCTATTGTAACTTTGGTCACTAAACAAATGGCTGTAAGTCATATAAATTCTGTATTCAAAAGTTTTTTTTTTCTTTCTCAAGACACATTGTTAACAATTTTCTCTGTAAGCAAAAGCAAATCTAAAAATCATAGGAGAAGCCAACCTTGTGTCCAGCCTATGTTGTACCCTAGCTGCTTGGTCTAACATTATTAAACTGACCATTGTAGAGAGATAAGCAAGGAAGCCCATTAACTGCTCAGGCATCTTGCAAATGCAAATGCCAACAGTCACCGCTTCTCTTTGGAATTCCTTAAAATATTGTTTGTGTCTCTTTTGTCTTTTACAGATTTGTCCTGGATTGTTCTTACAGCAGACAGCGAAGGCTTTGTTCCATTAACATTTGAATCCCAGCAGGAGATCATTATAAGGGACGTGAATGCTATGTCTAATGACAGCAGTAGTGCTTCCTGCAAAGCATTAGTTGCGGTCAACTCCACTGAGGGATACAGGAAGCTTTCCTCCCAAAGTCTCGATTTTACAGCCAGCTCTATGGAAGTCTTGAGAGAACCGTCTTCTCCATGTCTAGTGGATGGCGGCCATTCTTATGAGCAAACCAATAGCTCTTCATAATCACGACTGTTTGCAACTTGATCAACGTAGAAGTGAAATCTTTCATGAAGCATAATTAAAGTTGGGACTCCATTATATATTGTGCTTTCACAAAAGGGTGATATTTTACTGAACCATTGCTCCTGCCTTTGATTCTTTTTTTACTGTTACTCCATGGCTTACTTGCCATTTTGACACATAATTTTAAATTATTCTTGCCTGGTAATATGATGGTAGCAGCTGTACAAGGCACCTCAGTCTCTACAAAGCCTATCTTGTAAGCCAGGGGTTCCCAACCTGGGCTGCTCGCACCCCCTGGGGGTGCAAGACGATATTCTAGGGCAGGGGTCCCCAACCACCGGTCCGTGGACCGGTACCGGTCCGTGGAACAATTTCTACCGGGCCGCCGGTTTGCTGGGCGCCGCCATCTTGTTTTGATGAAAAAGTGCTTGCGGTGAGCTTTTCCGGGTAGAAAGCGGCGTTTAGGTGCTGAAAGAATCCTCGCGCCTTAGTTTCATGGAGGGGGGGGGCGGCTTCGAACAAAACTAAGGCGCAAGGATTCTTTCAGCACGCATGGCAAGGCGAGCCGAGCGACCGTCCCAAAGCCGTCGCGAAGCCCATTGACACAGGTACAAAGGAGGAGTTGAAGGTGGCGGGGAGAAGCGGGGGACGGCTGGCTTGCCGGTCGCTCGGCTCACCTTGCCATGCGTGCTGATGCTGGTACCGGGCCGCAGATGATTTTGTGATGCCGGTACCGAGCCGCGGCACAAAAAAGGTTGGGGACCACTGTTCTAGGGGGTGTGAGAAAAGTCCAGGTAAATAATAGGATATTGGCTATATGTTGGCATTTTTATTTATTATTTATTTCAGGGGGTGCGAGGTTCTAGTGAAATTTCTTTAGGGGTGCGGGGCGACAAAAAGGTTGGGAACCACTCTTCTAAGCTGACTGAACATATTTACATTTTTAGATTCTATTAGTAATCTTTTTCTCTCTGCTGAACATAAAGTTAAATGTTTGCCAAAGCTGAAAGGGACTTTTTCTTCAGAAAAGAGGACTCTTTGCCCTTAGCATTTTCTCAGAAGAAGCCTCAGTGGCATGAACAAACTGAAAAAAAAAGTGTGAATTTCTAGTGGTTTTAGAAGTAGAAAGCAAAATTGAGTTATGTTTAATAGTGTATTATAAGACAAACTATTATACCTGTAGTTTCTGCATTATTACACTACTTTTAACTTTGTTATTGTACCAGTGCCTGTTACAAATGTACTTGAAAGTTATGAGACCATTTACAAGACTACTAGTGAGTACCAAAGTCTTTTGGATATTTGAAGTTCTTCAGTACTGCAACTAAACTTGATTCATTTTTACTCAGTTGTGTCCAAGAAACTTTTCCAATATGCATGTAAGTTAAATAGCTCTCATTTAAAAAAACACATTAAAAATAACATAATTCAAAATAGTTGAAAGGCTGTCAACTAGCACGTTTGAAATACAGGTGAAACTCAAAAAATTAGAAAATCGTGCAAAAGTTCATTTCAGTAATGCAACTTAAAAGGTGAAATTAATGTATGAGATAGACTCATTACATGCAAAGCAAGAGAGTTCAAGCCGTGATTTTTCATAATTGTGATGATGATGGCTTACAGCTCATGAAAACCCCAAATCCACAATATCCGAAAATTAGAATATTACATGCAACCAATAAAACAAGGATTGTACATAGAACAATATTGGACCTCTGAAAAGTATAAGCATGCATGTGTACTCAGTACTTGGTTTGGGCCCCTTTTGCAGCAATTACTGCCTCAATGCGGCGTGGCATGAAAGCTATCAGCCTGTGGCACTGCTGAGGTGTTATGGTAGACCAGGATGCTTCAATAGTGGCCTTCAGCTCTTCTGCATTGTTTGGTCTCATGTCTCTCATCTTTCTCTTGGCAAGGCCCCTATATTCTCTATGGGATTCAAGTCAGGCGAGTTTGCTGGCCAGTCAAGCACAGTAATCCTACAGGCATTGAACCAGGTTTTGGTGCTTTTGGCAGCATTTTCCTGCTGCCATCCCCATAAAGCTCGTCTGCGGAAGGAAGCATGAAGTGCTCCAAAATCTCCTGGTAGATGGCTGCATTGACCCTGGACTTAATGAAGCACAGTGGACCAACACCAGCAGACGACATGGCTCCCCAAATCAACACAGACTGTGGAAACTTCACACTGGACTTCAAGCATCTTGCAGTGTGTGCCTCTCCATTCTTCCTCCAGACTCTGGGTCCTTGGTTGCCAAATGAGATGCAAAAGTTGCTCTCACCAGAAAAGAGGATTTTGGACCACTGACCAACAGACCAGTTCTGTTTTTCTTTAGCCCAGGTAAGACGCTTGTGACGTTTGTTGTTCAGGAGTGGCTTGACAAGAGGAATACAACATTTAAGCCCATGTCCAGGATCCGTCTGTGTGTGGTGGCTCTTGATGCACTGACTCCAGCCTCAGTCCACTCCTTGTGAAAGTCCCCAACACTTTTGAATGGCCTTTTCCTGACAATTCTCTCCAGGCTGCGGTCATCCCTGCTGCTTGGGCACCTTTTTCTTCCACACTTTTCCCTTCTACATAACTTTCTATTCATGTGCTTTGATACAGCACTTTGGGAACACCCAACTTCGTTTGCAATTACCTTTTGAGGCTTTCCCTCCTTATGGAGGGTGTCAGTGATGGTTTTCTGCACCACTGTCAGGTCAGCAGTCTTTCCCATGATTGTGATTCCTACTGAACCTGACTGAGAGACCATTTAAAGGCTCAGGAACCCTTTGCAGGTGTTCTGGCTTCATTAGCTGATTAGAGTGGGACACTTTGAGCCTAGAATATTGAACCTTTTCACAATATTCTAATTTTCTGAGATTGTGGATTTGGCGTTTTCATGAACTGTAAGCCATAATCATCTCAATATGACACATCACGGCTTGAACTATCTTGCTTTGCATGTAATGAGTCTTTTTCATATATTGGTTTCACTTTATAAGTTGCATTACTGAAATAAATGAACTTTGCACGATTTTCTGATTTTTCGAGTTTCACCTGTATTGCTCTGAAAGCTGAATTATAGTGGATGAGGGGCTGAATTGATCTTCAAAATCAGTCTCTCAAACCCAGTTTTACATTGGCAAACTTTAGGCATACTGAAAGAAGGTTTAGAAAGCAGCAGAGGGAACATTTTATTTTTTCATCTTTATCAGACTGGAAACCGGAGACTGAGCTGTTTGTTGTTTTTGGCACAAAAGCCGACCGGACAACCTTGGGCCAGTCACTCACTCAACCCAATCACCTTCAGAGTGGTGGTTGTGGGGAAAATAGGAAGAAGAAAGATTAGCTATTTTTGTCACCTTAAATTTAGATGAAAATAATAAACACAGGTTTAAAAATTATTAAAAAGGAGAATTGATGCCATATGCCCCTAAAATTTGTATTTTACACCTTTGAAGCAGAAGGGGGCAGTAACAACTAATGGAGGGTAGGAATGGTGTCTCCTTCTGAAAAAGGCTTTCATGAGGGTGATGTGGATTTGACTTCTGGTTGTATATAATCTGAACCCTGATTTCTATCTTTTCATCATTGATATTTTCATTTAATTGTAAAAAGGATAATGGTAGCTATTACGTTTTTCTTTTTCTTTTGGTCATTTTCCCTTTTTCTGTTCTTTAAGCCGCTCCATTTAAGGTCCCTTAGTATTCCTGCCTAATGTGAGATTTCATGAATATCTTCAATGTATTATTAGATTACTGTGTTTTTTTTATCTCAGATAAAATATGTAAAAAACAGCCACTTTCAAATTACTAGACCTAACTGTGCACTGAGAATTTATTGATCGGTTCTAACTGGATCTTCAATATACCAAAGCTTTCATTTCATTTTAAGAAAAATTACAGAAAACAATAGTTAAAGGGGGGAAAGTTAACTAAAAATCTACTTCCAGATTTCTTTACAGTTACAAAATCATTACCCCCTCTCCTGCCTTAACGTTATAATCATCCCTTCAGCCTCTTATTCAATCCTTTTTCAACATATTTTTTACCTTTTTCCATTTTCAGCAGCCTACAAAAGGTTTCCAAGCATTTATAAAAGTACTTACTATTTTTCCCCTGCCCACACAGCTCAGTTTTCCCATCTCTGCTAACCCGAGGACAATTTCAACATTAAAAATCTTAAATTCACGAATCACATCATGCTCGTTTTTACATGTAAACAATATTGGACCATGCAACATACAGGTAGTCCTTTGCTTAAGACCACCATTGAATCCAAAATTTCTGTTGCTAAGTGAGACAGGTAATTTTGCCCCATTTAATGATCTTCCTCACCACAGTTGTTAAGGGACTCTGCAGTTGTTAACTTAGTGGCGTGATTGTTAAGTGAATCTGGCTTCCTCATTGAGTTGTTTGTTAGAAGGTCGCATAAGATGATCATATGACCCCAAGGCATTGCAACTGCCATAAATATGAATCAGTTGCCATGTGCCTGAGTTTTGACCACACAACCATGGGATGTTGCAACAGTTGTAAATGTGAAAAATGGTCATGTCACTTTTTTTCAATGCCATTGCAACTTCAACTTCAAACGGTCATTAAATGTACTGCTGTAAGTTGAGGACTAGAAGTCAGTGGCTCAACTGTTGGAAGAAGGAATTCTTGTAATTGTTTCTCAACCATCTAGCTAGGCATAACAGCAAAATGAAGTACAGCAGCAAATTTATTTTAGCTGTCATTATTACAATTTACATTGTAATATTACAATTTACATTGTAAAAAATTTACATTATTACAATTTACATTGTAATAATTCCTGATTTTAAAATATTAGAAGATTGATATGAGTAAATTAAAGCAGCTGGTTTGAGACTGTTTTAAAATAAAGATCTGGCCTTACACACAATGAGTCAAACAAAGTAATTTCTTTGGTTTTAATTTAGCAGAATAAGCAATTCCATCCCTATTAAATTATGACATGTTTATGCACATTCTTCAAATGTAAGAAGTAGCATTTTGAATGTTCACACTATTTTGAACAATAGGGAACTCAGCAATGCTGAGATTAAAAGTTTGATCACAGTAGTTGAGGAACCTGTAAGGCTGTTCTTGAGCTGCAGTGCTGGTTATATACCATCAATGGCCACTTTCCAAGGTCTCCGCAGAGCTAGCTGCCACCAAGGGAAAACACAGGACTTCACATCTTCTCCATAAAATCACACTGAAGTTGGAAGTACTTTTAAGTTATCATTAGAATGTCTTCTC